AGGCAGAGAGCTCAGGGGCCTGTGGCGTGTCCCCGCCTTTCCAGGAAATCAGGCAACATCCTAGATGGAGCCTTTGTTCTGTGGTTCCTAGAACTGAGTCCTCTCAGGCAAAATCATCACATAGCAAAAATGGAAACAACAGAAATAAGAAGTGAAGTAGAGCAAATGAAACAATAAGAGACGAAGACAACGTGGTTCCTGCTGCTGTGGCCGGCAAGGAGCCTGCCTTTCCCAAAGATGCCCCATAAATGCCTCCTCCTCTGGGACGTGGCAAGGGACGCCAGAAAGGGCAACTTTAACGATGTCCCCACAGTTTCAAGAGGACTTTGTCATGCTAGACCCTGACCTGAGACAAGGAATTCAGATCCCAGGGCAAGGCTGGCTTCATCAACTATAAAACCAGGGCAGGGATGTCCCTCAGCCTCTGAGAAAGCATGCAAAAAAGGCACGGTCAGGCCCCATGTCCCATTCACAGACCCAAGGCTGCTGCTGTTCCATCCTCAGCCCTGCCCTCCTCCCATTCACAAAGGGCCGGTGGTGGCCTCAGATGCCAGCTGAGCGGCTGCTGAGTGAGAACCCGCTCTCCTGCCCTGCATGCATGTGCCCTATGTGGGATGATGTCACTGAATCCTCATCACAGTGACTCTGGGTACTATTACTGCTCCCATTTTACAGATAAGGAAGCTAGGGCCCAGAGACATGATCAGAGTCCTACCCCTTGGAATGGAGAAGCCAGGACTGTCACTCAGGCATTCTGAGGGCACAGCCCATGAGCTTAAACCAAAGTGTCCACCTGAGGGCAGAGGCCACACTGGCGCATTTCTTGGGTGTGCACAGCACCTGAGCACCCACCACCACAGTTTGCATGGAGCTGGTGTCCAGGTACTGTTTAGGGCCCCCAATGAGGCTGCAGACATGACTGTTTTCTCAGCACCCTGGATCTGTGATTTATGTTCCCCTTGCCTGATTCTTCCTGCTGTGTCCGCAACACACCAAGAGCTGTCTGATGGTTATTCAGTGCCTATACCACACGGGCCACTGCCCTGGAGTTTCCCAGCTGCCATTTCATTTAACCCTATAGCCCTAGGAGGTTTATGTCATCACCCCCATAGTACAGATGAAGAAACTAAGGTTCAGAGTGGCTGAGTCAGGTGCCCAAGGTCACATGGTTTGTAAGAGCCAAGGCTGTCCAGCAGGGCGGATAATCCAATAAGCAAGGTAAGCATGATGCTTACCTTGCTTTCTAGATCATCTGTAGTGAACAATTTCACATTTTTTCACCACATCAAAGATTCTGCTTCTAGGTATGGCTGGCATCTGTCTCTTTCCCAACCCCACAGCATATTCCTACAGAATCAAAGCCTCTTTTCAAATGTACAGTCCTTGACAGGGGCAGATTACCCAGTAAGCAAGGTAAGCACAGACTTACTTGTGCTTACTTACTAATCTGTAGTGCACAATTTCATGTATGTTTGTGAAACTGCATACAGATTAGTAAGTAAGCACAAGTAAGTCTGTGCTTACGTTGCTTACTGGGCAATCTGACCCTGCTGTCCAGTTTCCAGCCTGGTTCCTCTCCCATCACCGCCCATCCTAACTCTCCCTTCTCTGGCCTTTACTGTCTTTCCAGGCATTGTTACCCACTGTCCACTGAAGACCGCCCAAATGTTTGCTTTGGCTCCCAGTGAGACTGCTGAGCTCCTTCAGGACAACGACCTTGACTCTCAGGCCGCCTCCTCCCCGACCCCAACCTTGCCTGGGCTTGGTGCACATGTGCTGTCTGGGTGGCACAGAGTCCAACCCCCAAGGTCACATCCCCAGAGGTAGGTTTTCTGCACAGATGGGCCTGAGGCGCTGCAGTATCTGAAGATGCCTTCTGATTCATCAGGGTAGTTTCAGTTTGAAGAGTGTCAACCTGTTTTGGGCAGATTTACGGTATCCCCTTGGGTTGTTTAGAAGAGGCAGTTGAGCAGAAAGTACTGCAATGGATGTGGACTCATGAGACTCGTAGCCTTTACCATGCAACCAGAGGCAAACCACTTAGCCCCTCTGTGCCTGAGTTTCCTCATTTTTAAAGTGGGAATAATGGTAGTACCTGATTCATCCTTTCACCCATCTACCTATCCATCCATCCTCCCTCCCCCCATCCCTTGCATTCACCCCTCCATCCATCCATCCATCCCTCTCATCCATTCATCCATCCATCCTCCACCCCACTGTCATCCATTGATCCATGTAGCCTCCCACCCTCCCACTCATCCCTCTGTTGGTCCATCCTCCTCTTCTCCTTCCCATCCATCCCTCTCATCCATTCATCCATCCATCCTCCACCCCACTGTCATCCATTCATCCATCTATCCTCCACCCCACTGTCATTCATTCATCCATGTAGCCTCCCACCCTCCCACTCATCCCTCTATTGGTCCATCCTCCTCTTCTCCGTCCCATCCATCCACCCACCCACCCATCCATCCATCCATCCATTCAACACTGAACGAATACTTATTGCACACTTACCATGTGCAGGCACTGTGCTAGGCATTTGGGATGCATCCATGATAAAAACATAGATCCCTGCCCTCATGGAGCCTACTTTCCAGTGGGAGAGTCAGTCATAAAACAATAAACATAATACAAAAGTAAAATATACAGAAGGTGGGGGAAAAAAGCAGATCTGAGTGAGGGGCTCAGAGTATGGAGATGGAGTTGCAATTCGAAATGGGATGGTCAGGGTGGGGCTAGCTGGGAAGGTGGCATTTGAGCAAGAGCTGAAGGAGGTGAGAGTTGGCCAGGAGGATATCTGGGGAGGCGCCCTCTAGGAGGTGGGAACAGTATGTGCAGAGCCCCTGAGGCAGGGGAGCATTCAGACATGTCTGAGGAGCAGGGAGGAGGTGGCGTGTTGGGAGTAGAGAACCAGGCAGAGAGAAACAAGAGATGGGGCACAGCGGTCATGAGGTCAGATCATGAAGTGCCTTGTGGGCCATTTTCCAGAGTTAGCTTTTCCTCTGGGTGAAATGGGGAGCTGGTACAGGGTTTTGAACAGCGGAGGACCAAGATCATTGGAGGATTGGTGGGAGGATAACAAAACCCCTATGAGGATGATTTCCTTTCCTGAACTCCCCACTGAAGCTAAAGCCAGGGCCCTTTATTTACAAGCCACATAATTCTGTTTCTCACCCTCTGGAGCCTAGAGGCATCATCGACTGAGGCTGCTCCTTCCCTCTGGCCCCCTAGAAGCCTGCCCAGCTGTCCTCGGTCCAGCCATGCAGCCCTGGAGCGCAGGAAGAGGGAGCAGGGGAAGAAGCCATAGTCCCAGCTCCCTGAGGACCATGCCACCTGGGTACAGTTCCACTTTCTGGAGTCACATGGGATGGGAAATAAAAACATTACATCCCCAGGGAGGAAACAGAGCTAAATAACAGGAACTACCACTTGCAGAGAGAGGAGGGAGGGAGAGGCCGATGTATCAGGAGGTAGCCCTGCAAAGGAGTATCCACATGGAGGGGCTCAGGAAGAGAGGTGGGCTCTGACCTCCTCCCCACCCCCACCCAGGTAGGCATCTGCACCCCCATTGAGACCACACTCACTGCTTGCACTTCCATTAACAAGCTGGGGAAGATCATTCCAGGTGGTAAAGATGCCTCTTCCCCCTCCCCTAGGTGTCTTTTAGGAGTGGGAGAGTGAAAGGTACATTCAAGAGACCAATGGCAACCATCTGGGTGAGGCCAGGTTGAGGATAAGAGCTTGTCTCCTTTGAAATCCAGCCTCCACCACTTCCCTCCTGGGGGACATGTCTCTGTTTTCTTCTTCAGGTGTTAAATGAGGATGGAGATCATAAAAGGTCTCGCCTTACAGGGTCCATGTGAGGACTAAATAAGATGGACAGGACTGTGCTTAGCTCTGTGCCTGACATAACAAACTGTCAAAAAACATTAACCATTGTTATGGTCTCAATCTCCAAGTTACTCTGAAATCATAATGGGACCAAGCAGGCCTAGAAGGTATGATCCTAAGTCAAACAACTGGAAAGGTATCGAAGAATTTGCATAGAGAATGAGACAGAACAAACAAGAGTCTTTAGGAAGCCCGTGGTTTGCAACAAAGTGAGAACCTCTCTGTAACCGGAAGGACCTACGACGGGTTAGCGGCTGAGAAGATGGACAGCAACAAAGGGGCCTTCGTAGGTTTACTTTTCTGATGTAAGACACATATCATCCATATTCTTTAAAAATAAGACACTCTTTCCCTCTGAGCTGGTTCCTAATCTTTTTCTCTCTTCCTCTCTCTCCCTCCCTTCCTTCTCCCATCTGTCTCTGTCTCTTTCTATGTCTGTTCCTCCCTTCCTTTCTCTCCCTCTGCTTCTATCTCTCAGTGACAAAACACATGCACACATACTCATGCACATACAAGTACACACATGCATACATGTGTGCCCATGTGAGCACACACATTCACACATGCACACACGAGCACACGCACGTGCGCACACACACACACACGCACGCACACACACATACACGGTGCCCTCTGCTCTGCAGCTCTCTGTCTGGCTCCTCCTCTCCAGGCCCCCATTCCTCCACTTTGACCCACACTGACTGTGCCTGCATCCATCTCCCTGCTCGACCAGTGAGCCTCTTAAAGGCAGGGCCCACCAGCCCATCTTGCACCCTCTGAGCTTAGCACAGTGCCTGGCGTATTGCAAGGCATCAGAAAGTGACCTGAGCAGGCACTAAGCCTTACGCCCGCAGAACGTTATTCCTTTAAGCAGTGTAGGAAGCACGCTGGCTACCTCCAGCACACCCAGCATCAGACACGGGTTTCTCCAAGCGCTCTCTGCTCCTGCCAGCTCAACCAGAGCTTCCTGTTCTGATTCCTGTCCAGGCCTGTCTTCCCATCTTGGGACAGGGATGATCACCTGACTTTCCTTTCAGAGAGGAGGGAAAATCTTAGATTGCCTAGAACCAGCCATTTTTCCCTGAGCAAAGGGGATGCCAACTTACCACCATGGCCCCTATGGCTGGGGACCCTCTCGGCTGCCGGAGCATGCAACCCATGCCAGGACCACCCTAGGTGAGCCAAGTCTGTGTCGCCTTTCTCCAGCAGGGTCAAGGAGATCTTCCTGGCCAGAGCCTCGCCATCAGGCTCATGGAGGAGGGCCTGGTGGTACTCCCTGGAGAGGAACTCTGCTTCCAGCAGGTTGTCCAGGAAGGCCTGCACCTGGCTGGGCAGCTGGCAGGAGAGCAGCATCCGGACCCGAGTCAGGATGGTCTGGAAGTGGTTCATGGCAGTACTCGGAGGCAGGGCAGCTGCCCCGGGCCAGAGCCTGGGATCTCTGCTCACCCAGCCAGCAGCATCCAAAACATGAAGTGAAAAACAGGATGAGGGAACCTCTGCAGTTTATTCCTGCTTAGGAAGATTTCCTCATTTGGGTTACAGGCTGGGGTGCCTGATGAACGGACGGAAATGGGTTCTCGTGTGAATCAGACCCCTTGGATCTTCCTTGGGTACCACCTGTGTGCCTGCACTGCAGAAGCCCACGAGAACCCCACAGTCTGTCCATTCCATTCCAGCCAATCCAGTCCTTACTAAGAGGAAGGGGCCTTACCTCTGCTGAGGACCCAAGATGTGCTGGACCTTTGTAGATGTTTCATCATACGGGAAGAAGGCACCAGGGCACAGAGATTAAGCAGGTAGGCTTGGACCTAATCTGCCTAGGTTCAAATCTCAGATCCAGCACTTGCTAGGTATGTGACCTTAAGCAAGTTACTGAACCTCTTTTAGCCTTCATTTTTCCATCTGCAAAAGTGGAATGATAATAACAGTACTTACCTCATAGGGTTGTTGTAAGGATTAAATGAGATAACATACATAAACATGATAAATGTTCAATAAATATGAGACATTGTTATAATTTTATTGATTAATCATCCAACAGCTGTATGACCTTGGGCTTAACCTCATTAAGCCGCAGTCTCCTCTTCTGCAAAATCCCCCAATACAAAAGCAATTTCAGTGAGTTGCCATGAGGATTAAAAGAGATAAGGCATGTAAAGGGCTTAGCAGTAGACCTGGTAAGCACTTAATCAACATTCACTTTATTAATATTATCCCCAATTTACTAATGAACAAAACAGAGGCTTTGACTAGGACCAGTCTGTTTTAGGATTCTACCCTAAAAACCCCCAACCTTATTTTATCTATCATAGCTGATTGCTCTACCTGCCCTTTCCAGAACACACCATGACCTTGTTTCCTCCCCTGACCTTAGCTTTGCCATCTCTCAGATGGGACCATTTGCATTGTTCATTTAAATGAGCCAAAGAAGGACTTCTACTTCCAATATGGCTGAGTAGCTCATTCAACCAACCTTCCCACAGAGGACAGCTATAAACTCTGGGGAAAATATCGAAAACAACTACCTGAAAGCACTGGAGAGTGATCAGAGCCTGCGGATCCTGGAGGGGAGTCAACGCTTGGAAGACGAGAATGTCACTGTTGAATTTCCCAGTTCACGAGTTTTGCCTGAGGACAGGTCCTGTCATTGCCATGCAGGGTGGCAAAACTCTGGCAGAAAATACACAGGCTTACTGTCCTGAATAACCAGAGGAGAGAGTCTGGGGCAACAACAGCCACTGGAATGGGGAAGTACAAGCCCCATAAAGGAGAGAGGTAGAGAGTTGTTGTTAGTTGCCATCAAGTTGATTCTGACTCATGGTGACTTCGTGTGTACACAGTAGAACTGCTCCATAGGGTTTTCAACACTGTGACCTTTAGGAAGCAGATCACTAGGCCTATCTTCCAAGATGGCTCTGGGTAGGTTCAAACCACCAACCTTTCATCTAGCAGTTAACTGTTTGCAACATCCACCAACTCCTTGAGGTAGGGAAGGGTAGTCCCAAATTCTGTGTATCAATTGCCCAAATCCCTGGCTGACCTCTGAACATGCATTCACACATGGGGCAGACTCCAGGCAGTTCAGCTAAGGCTAAAAGAACCAAACTGACATTTGAGCTGCTGGCTATTATGGGGAGGAAGGGGAACTTTGAAATCTGATTCCAACAAAGTTAAGTGCCTGATTTAAAAAAAAAAATTTAACACTGTGTTCAGAGGATTATAATAGAATACAGAGTGTCTACAACACACCATTCACAGTACCCAGTACACAATCCAAAATTACTTGAATATGAAGACAAAGGTAAAAGGGATCCATTCTCAAAAGAAAAAGGCAATCAATAGAAACTGATCCCAAGATAACCCCATGTCTTAAAAGCTAGCAAGCGGCCATCTAGGATGCATCAATTGGTCCCAACCACCTGGAGTAAATGAGAATGAAGAACACCAAAGACATAAGGAAAGTATTAGCCCAAGACACAGAAAGGGCCACATAAACCAGAGACTTCATCAGCCTGAGACTAGAAGAACTAGATGGTGCCTGGCTACCACCAATGACTGGCCCTGACAGGGGACACAACAGAGAGTCCCTGATGAAGCAGGAGAAAGGTGGGGTGCAGAACTCAAATTCTAGTAAAAAGACCAGACTTAATGGTCTGAGA